ATATATTGTTATCCCCTTTCTGAACCCCATTTGATTCGGTTGAATCAGTCCCTTCCCTTCCACTTCCTCTCTTAATCTTTCCGCTAATGCCGTCGTACATATCTTGTACAACGATGTATTATTGTCCCCCCTATAATCCTTCACAATCTCCTCCTATTTTTTTCTTTTTAATTGGCACGACTACACCCTCTCTCCTCCGGCCATCCCTTCCCCTTCCATACTTTGTTGCATAATCCTTACGCCCATTCCTCTATTCTTTCTCCACACTTCATTAAGTACTCTATCCACTCCCATTGTTTTACTATCTGCTTCAGTTTTACTATCTCCTTTTTATCCTGTTTATTTTCTCCCCTCCCAAATCCCCCTCTCCCCTTCTTATTACTTTGTTTTCTACTCCTAATTGTTTACAAAAAATTCCTCCCACTCTTCTATTTCTATATCCTTATTAAATTCCTTCTACTTTTTCCTTTCTCTATTGATCATTCTCTGCACCTCCATTTTTGCTTCCTCTGCTTTCTTCTCTCATCTTTCATTTTCCTCTTGTCTTTTTCTCTCACATAATTTTCTATATTCCCTCTTCTTCCTCCTGTACTCATGTCCCTCTCTCTTTCAACTCTTTCCTCTATGCTTCCTTCTAACCTCTCTTTTTTTCTTCCTCATCCCACCACCCTTTCCTTCTTCCCCTCTCTCCCCGCTATCTTTCTCTATTTTTTCCATTTTCTCTCACTCTTGTTCCAAATTCTCCCCATATTTCCTGCATTTTTCCTTCTATCATTTCCACTCTTCCCAATTCTGTTCTAAATAGCTCTCTTCCTTCCTCGTCCCATATTCCTTTATTCGTCTTCTTCTTCTTACCCCCTTCTCCGTTTTTCAAACGTACTCTATTGGTGATTCAAGTCTATCTGCTCTCCTACCTCCAAATTCATCACTTCCTTCTTATCTCCTCGTTCACTAGCGCGTAGTCTGTAATAGATTCCCCTCTTCCAGTGTATGTCTAATTCTCATCATCTCTAATACCTCCATTTACTATTAATCATTTGCTTTCTTTTTAATATACTGTATCAGCCTTCTCTCTTTTTTCCCTTCCATCTTCCTAACAGCTCTAGTTTTCCTTTTCATATTCTTATTCATGTATATCTCTTCTACCCTTAATTTCACCTTTCAATACTTATTCTATAATTCTTCCTTTTATTATCCACTCCTCTTTCATTTCCTCTTTCTCTCCTTGCTCTGCTAATTCCTTTTTATCTCCCATTATCATTCCTTCATTGCTCTTCCTTTCTTGTTCTTTCTCCCTGCATCTTCTATCCTTTTGGCAACTTCTCTTTAACTTTCCCTCAATTTTTCTCTTCCATCCATATTTCCATCCAAACCAACACTTCCCAACTCTTTAATGTTTTTCAAAATTCTCTGTCTTTATTTCCCACTCTCGCCACATTCCAGAAGGTTCTGGCCATCTCTCCCCATCCATATCTCTACACTGTACTTGGCACTTCATCTACTCCTATTGCTTAGCCTCCTTATTATCTTGTTTATTTCTTCCCTCTCCAAATCCTTCTCTATTCTCTCTTTTATTATTTTATTTTCTACTTCGCCTAGTTGTTTACAAAAGAATCCCTCCCACTCTTCTAATTCTATATTCTTATTCAATTCCTTCCACCTTTTCCTTTCGCTGCTAATTATTCTCCACCTATCCTTTTGTTCTTGTTTTCTCTGCTTCTCTTTCCCATTTTTCATTTTCCTGTTGTCTTTTTCTCTCACATAACTCTTTATATGCTCTCTTCTCCCTCTTATGTTCCTGTCTCTCTCTTTCAACTCTTTCCTCCATGCCCTTAACTCCCTCCTATTCTTCCTTTTTTTTCCACATTCCTCGTTCCACCATCCTTTCCTTCTTCCTCTCCCTCCCCCTTTATCTTTCTCTACCTTTTCCAAAGTCTCTTTTATCGTTGTTCCAAATTCTTTCCATTTTTCTTGTACTTTTGCCTCTACCATTTTTATTTTTCCTAATTCCGTTTTAAATAATTCTCTTTCTTTCTCGTCTCATATCCCTCTATTCATCCTTCTTTCTCTCTCCCTTTTTTTCTCTATTATTCCCTTCTCTGTCTCTCACTGGGTGGTGATCCGAGTGATCAGATCCAGCTCTCCTGTCTCCAGATTCACTACTTCCTCCTTTATCTCCTCATTTACTAGCACATAGTTTATCACCGATTCCCCTCTATTCCTAGTATACATACAATTTCCCTTCTCATCATCCCTCCATTTATTATCGACTATCCCCTCTCCTTAATATACTCTATCCTCTTTCCTTCTTTATTCACTTTCTTGTCGCGTTTATTCACGTTCTTTGTCCCATCGACCTCCTCTCTAATCCTTCCTCATCTCCCTCTTCTAATCTAACCCTTCCTCCTTCCTCTCTTGTCTTCATATTAAAATGCCCCCTAATTACTTATTCTTATTCTTCTCTCCCTTACATCTATCTATCTAGCTCTTGTTTTTTTTCCATATTCCCATTTACATATATCCCTGCTATTCTTAATTTCCCCTTTTCATACTTAATTCTTCCTTCTACTCCTCTTCTCTTCCATATTCTCTCTGTCTTCTTGCCCTGCTAATTCTTTTTTAACTCTCTATCGTTCCTCCCATCACTCTTCTTTTTTTCTTCTTCCTTCTTGTTCCCTTCACCTTTCACCTGTATCCTTTCAGCAATTTCCCTCAATTTTTCTCCTTTATCCATGTTTCCATCAAGACCAACACCTCCCAATCCTCTAATGTTTTCCAAAATTCTCTGTCTTTATTTTCCACTCCCGCCACATTCCAGAAGGCTATTTTTAATCCTCTTTCTCTCTCACATTTCTCTTTCATTACCTCTTCTCCTTAAGTCGATTCATACTGTCTTAAGTCAATCTTAATCCGAGGACTGTATTATTATAACAGCTTAAGACATTATATTTAAAATGTTATATCATGTGCTCGATATAAAATATTTCCCAAGTTAATGGGTTGAAATAACGTTATTTATTTTTTATTTTGCTGATTTTTTATTTAGAGAAATCTTTTCTTAATACACGCTGCTTCTTCTTGCTTGTAATACAGACAGACAACCTTCGTCGAAAGAAAATGATGGACAGAAATAACATACTTCATACTAACGTCCGGGACGCCATATTCCAAACGCATCGGTAAAGAAAATTAAGACTGATTTTATACCGCTCAATTCAAATCTCCTTATGATACTAAATAACAAAAAATAATTAAACTTAAAGAAACGGACGCATCCTTAACGCGTTGTCCTCGACAACACATAGTACTTAATAATACGGTCGATCTTAAAGCCTCGCCTTTAAAGAGAATCATGTCTAGACGGGTAAAATGGAAAGTTTGCTTATGGACCTTTGACATATATTTGTGCTTTTACATCCACAATTCTGATCAGTCCATCTCTACCGGGGTGCACGACTACTACTCTTCCCAGACACCAATTTATCGGCGGGATATTGGCCTCCCGCAAGACAACCAACTTCTATTGAGAAGCGGATCCTTTTCTTGTTTCGTTCCTGAAATTGAGTTAAGTATTCAGCTGATCATCGCTTCCAAAATGTTTGCCTCATGCGTTCTAAGAGTTGAGCAATTAAGACGGTTTACATTGACGTCTGTGATAGCCTCGATGATCGAAACAAGTGGGACGCCCGATCAGGAAATGGCCCAGTCAAAGCTCGGAGAGCACTAGATTGCGCAGATATCGGAGCGGTCTCGAGTTTAATATAGCTTCTATTTGAATCATTATGGTAGTCAATTCTTTAAAAGTGAATAAGATTGAGCCAACTTTATTATTTGTCAAATGATTTTTGCAGGATTTAACGACGAATAAACTCGTATAAACTTCCATATAAAATGAGGAAAAAAATGCCACGATCATTTGTTCCGCCAAATAATCATGTATTTTTGTACTGTTTACATTAATGATTGATACATTTGATATAATACATTTCTCTCAATGCGTTATTGGTTCCCACAAAATTTGTTCCGTTATCGAAATAAATTGAAAAACATTTGCCACTTCTATCTATGAACGTCTATCTCTTTAACGCGTTTAGAAAAGCCAAAGTACTTAGATTGGATACAATCTCTAAATGCACCGCCCTCGTGACGAAATATACAAAAATGCAAGTAAGTTTTTCCCATCTTGTTACGAGTAATCTTTATACTGAATGGTCCCGCATAGTCAACATCGCTTTTGAAAAGCGGAGATAGAGATAGCATACGGGAGGCCGGCAAATTTCCCATTAATGGCCCGGCGGACGCGGCGCGAGATCGACAACAAACGATACACTTGCGCAGGACACCTCTTACAACGCTTCATCCCGACAAAGGCCAATATTTTGCACGAATTATAGACAATAAGGCTTGAGGTCCTGCATATATATATTTTAAGTGTTCTTGCATTATGATTAAACTAGTGAGATGGTGTTTCCTTAGTAGAATTATGGGATGTTTCTGATGATAGTTCAGTGCGGTTTCTTGTAGTCGTCCTCCGAATCTCAATAATTCGCTGGCAAATTATTGATAAAGGGTAAAAGAGAAAGTATTGTACTTTTAGATGATATTTCACGCTTTTGGGTTAGCTAGTGTATTTCTTCATTGAATTCATCCCTCTAGGCCATGAGTAGAAGCGCTTGCATGCTGCGTTCGAGCTCCTGAACTTGTAGCGGTCTCGCGAATTTGAGTTCTTCTTGTTGGGCGCTGTGTCTTGAATTGCACAGGAAAACAATATGCAATAATCCGCTTTAGTTTGGTCAAAGAGGAAAATCTGTTTATGATGTGTAGATTTTCTTCCGGAACGACACATAAGACAATGATTCAACGTTTAATCTCGGGCATTTTTTCTATTTGAAGCGACTTAGGAGAGTTATCTATGATTTCGTCGTAGCCGTCATACAGGATGGAAGGAATCCATTCCACCAAAGATTGCTTTATTTATTCTTCTTGAGATGAGGTCGATTGGGTTCAGAGCGAAGTGTGGTGCCATTCTCCATTTGCTGATAGCTCCTGAATTTTAGCCAATTGGCAACAAAGGTTGACTATCTAGTTTTTCAGTGATCCAGAACAATTTTATGGTGGAGCCACTCCAAAAATGCTATCTATACTCAATGATTCAGTTACTCGATATAGCCGAGATAGCAGCAGGATTGCAGAGTTCGAGCTTTGGCAATTATATAGTTTAGAGGGGCCACGCGTGACTTGGCATATATCATCCTGACATAGCACACTGCGATGAGTCTGTACTTCTAATATAAATACAGGCGCCGTAAACTTGCTCAGAGGTGTCGCAGAATCCATGTAATTCTATACGCACCAGGTCGCATAGAATACGCCGAGATATCTTCAAATGATTAAGACACGATATTTTTCCATACCATGCGGTGTATGAAGTAATGATTCATCCCAAGCTAGTTTTGCCATATTTGCTGTAGAATCACTTTAGGTTGCGTGATGACGAGTCCTAGAAGATCGAGTAAGTCAAAAATTTGAGAAATGCAAGATCTACCTTTTAGTTGATCTTTACGATTGCTCTGATGGTGTAGCAAAAGGTATCGAGTTGGGTGTTCCACAACTGGCCAAGAAGTTTTGCCACCGCGCAACTCGAAAATGGCTTCTCTTTTCTAGCATCATCTAGGAATGCGCAATTTGATCTCCATTTGTGGAGCTCGAATTTTGCTGATTTAAGAATCGCAATGATTTCTTCCCTTATTTTCTGAAGGTCATTAATGTCATTATCTCCTGTCAGAAGATCGTCCACATAGAAGTCGCGCTTGATAACCTTGGTAGCTCTCGGGAATTGATGCCGCAAATCTTCGACTGTTTGATGAAGACAGCGAATAACAAAAACACTGAACAGGTCTCTCCATAGATGACTGTTTGAAGCTCGAATGTTTGTATTTCCTCGTTGGATTAAATCTCCATAATATGCGTTGCAATCTGCATTGTTTTGGATCTAATTTAATCTACATTTTGAATATGTTGACAGAGACTGCATACACGTGCTGGCGAAGACGCATCAGATATTGAACAAATCCTGGCTTGTGTCCCACCAACTGGATAAAGATAATCCTGAGTTGGTTTTTGCGGACGTATCAAAAACAACTCACAATCGGGAAGCATCTGCGCTGTCTGGCTTGAAAACAGCATGATGCGGCAAATAATACATTCAATAATACATACTACATTCTGTAGTCGACCTCTGTATTCCGCGAATTGGCAGGTACATGTGCTCGAGCTCCAGATGTATAAGCTTAAATCCGCTGTTTGCTCATAGGTGGCATTAGTGAGCATACAAAGCAATCGTGGGCACACTTTTTTTTATGTGTTCGACATCTGTCAACATTAATCAATGCACATCATCAGCAATTTCATACAACAACATACATTTTTTCTTTCGTAATCATGTCTAGTTTTTTTGCTAAAAAAAAAAGCATATGCAGGAAGCTTTGCTTTTCTGTTTCAATTTGAAGAAATCGGCTGCCGAATCGCATCGAATGCTTGTGGAGGCCTATGGCGACAATGCTTCATCGGAAACAACGTGCAGAGATTGGTTTCGCCGGTTCAAAATTTTGATCTGAGTGACAAGAAGCGTGAAAATCGGCCCAGGAAGGTTGAGGACTGTCAATTGCAGGCTCTTTTGGACGATACCCAATCGCAAAAAATGCTTGCCGAGCAATTAAGTGTTTCTCAAGCAGCCATGCAGCTACATGCGGCTACATGTCATGGAGAAGGTTCAAAAGATCGGAAAATGGGTGCCGCACTGAACGATAGACAGATGGAGCGACGCCAAAACACATGCCAAATTCTGCTTGCCAGACAAAAAAGAAAATCATTCCTGCATCGGATTGTGACGATGAAAAGTGGATCTATTTTCAGAATCCTAAACGCAAGAAATCTTGGGTTGATCCCGCCCAACCATCAACACCTTCCTTAAGATCAAATCGCTTCGGACG